GGACCATTAACCATTATCTGAAGTCTGCTGCTCTGAGCATGTCAGCTGGAGTTATGACATCATCGTGTTCCATGACACAGGTGTTTATATTTGAGCTAACGACGTGTCCAGAGATCAAAGGTTTCAGCCTGTTACTCAGTGTAAGATCCGCATCGAGCCTCTAAAGCTTGATTTTCATTGCATATTTAAATTGTACCTGTTTCAATATCATCATCATCATTAAAGTTCGTTTTTTCCACAAACATATTAACACATTAGATATATTCTCACCACTTCTATGAAATGTATAAGATGTAGGTCAGCACTGTTTGAGCGGTTAAGTAAGCAAGATAAAATAACTAATATTGACACTCGTTGTCTCTGTTCAGACTATGGCAAAGCGGCTGGTGGCGTGGTGGAAGACAGTGAGGCGGAGGCTGGATGGTTCGGAGGTGTAGCCATCCTTGTGGTGCTTTTGGTCTGCACCGCCCTGGCGACAGCCTTCGGCGACTGGAGTAAGGAGAAGCAGTTCCGCAGTCTCCAGAGCCGCATGGATCAGGAGCAGAAGTTCACCGTGGTCCGGGCAGGGCACGTGATCCAGATCCTTGTGTCGGAGATGGTCGTCGGAGATATCGCACAAGTCAAATATGGTGAGGGCAAAGGGGATCAGCTGAAACAAAGCTCACCGTTGATTGAAAGTGATGATGACTGCCAAAATAACTGCTTGCAATATAGCTATTTGGAAATGCGTTGTCAGTTTTGACAGGGTTACACTTGCTATTCTTTATTTGACAGTGTAGTAGATCTACTCCTTTGAGTTGGACTGCTTTCTTGCATTTTTATTGTTAGTCATTTTGGACATAAGTATCTAAAAGAAGTGAATGTAGCGTAATGAAATTGAGGTGTCCTATGAACATTGAACATTTTCTATTTGTTACTAACGCTCTAAGTTCAATGGGACAAAGATGCTGGCACTCAGAAAAGGCCACAGATCTTATGTCTCCTGTCAGAAAGTTGTTTCAATACAGTCTTTTTTTTCTTTTCTCCTCCAGTCCTCATGTGACAGATACAATGTTGTGATGATGACCTGATGAGGGTGAGCTGTTGTTACAGTGTACCTGTTTGTTTGTTTTTTCCAGCTGACCTCCTGCCTACTGACGGCTTCCTGATCCAGGGCAACGATCTGAAGATTGACGAGAGCTTTCTGACCGGGGAGTTTGATCATGTGAAGAAGAGTGTCGACAAGGACCTCATGTTGCTGTCAGGTGCTTCACTCTTCTCCATTCACATGAAAACACAGCAGGCAAAAGGACCATGACCGATAAATAACATGCATATTATTTCACTACCCCAATAATCGTGATCTCAGTATGGTACAAAATAATCCAATAGCCGTACTGTGTGCAGCTTCCATCATGATCAACTTCTGTCTCTCCCCCTCAGGTACCCATGTGATGGAGGGCTCTGGCAAGATGTTGGTCACTGCTGTTGGAGTGAACTCTCAGACTGGAATCATCTTCGCGCTGCTTGCTGCTGAGGAGGAGGAAGATGACTGTGATTGTGCTGAGAATGCTGACAAAGAAAATAAATACCATTATTAAAAAAGGAAATGGAAAGGCACAATACCCAAACAGTTTTCTGTCAAAAAAAACACAATCATTTATGACATGACCTCAGTTGCTGAAGAATTCAATAAGTACTTTGTCAATGTTGGAAACTATATTCTTAAGAGGGACTGATGAAAATGAAACAGTTAAAAAACTTAAGAGTAAAAGGTCTACAGACTGTCATGATATTGACATGTATACAGTTAAAAACATTCTCGAATGTATAGCCAAACCACTAACTCACATCTGTAATCAGTCAATACAAACCGGTGTATTTTCAAATAAAATGAAAACTGCTAAAATCATACCAATACATAAATCTGGAGATAAACATGTACTGTCAAACTATAGACTGATTTCATTGCTCTCACAGTTTTCTAAAATACTGGAAAAAATCTACTATAAGACTAAATGACTTCATCACCAAACATAACATACTCTATGAACAACAATATGGCTTCAGAGCTAACAGAACCCCATCATTTGCAGTTATAGAATGTATGGAACACATTACTAAGGCAATAGAAAAAAAGAATATGCAATAGGGATATTTCTGGACCTTAAAAAAGCATTTGACACAGTTGACCATGAATTATTAATAAAAGAACTACAGAGATATGGCATTAGAGGTGTTGCACTATCATGGCTATCCAGCTACCTACATAACAGGGAACAGTACGTTGAAATACAAAGCCATAAATCACAACTACTGCAGGTTACATGTGGGGTACCTCAGGCTCAGTCTTGGGGCCATTACTATTTATTCTGTATATTAACAATATATGTGAAGTATCAAAAACGATTAAAACCATTCTTTTTGCAGACGACACAAGTCTACTCTGCTTTGGGGACAATTTGGAACAGCTATTGGTCACAATGGAAAAGGAACTGAGCAGGATGAAGATCTGGTTTGACCAAAATAAATTAACATTGAACGCAAGCAAAACCAAACTCATAATATTTGGGAATTGATCAACCAATACAGAGAAGAAACTCACCATAAATGGCGTCCAATTAGAAAGAGTATCGGAAATAAAATTCCTTGGAGTAATCATAGACAATAAATTAAGTTGGAAACCACATATAAGCTATATCAAAGCAAAAATATCCAAATCAATAGCAATTCTGAATAAAGCCAAAGACCTAATGAATCAAGCCTCCTTGTTTATGTTGTACTGCTCCTTCATACTTCCATACATGATGTACTGTGTGGAAGTTTGGGGGAACACATATAAAACAAATACACATCCTATCTTCATCCTGCAAAAAAGAGCCATACGAGTTATACATAAAACTACGTACAGAGAACCAACAAATACATTATTTATCAAACTAAAAACACTAAAACTACAAGACCAGAGGCCTGTACTACGAAGCCCGGTTACTTATGTTGTGGCAGATATTTAAGTAAGCTTTCTTAACGCTAATGTTATAATAGTCAGATTGCTCTGAAGATGGGAGGGGATATTCTATTAATTTTCACGTTCACACAGTCAGTTTATTTTTGCCGGCCGTCTTTCCTGCAACGGCAGTTTTTCTGTATTTCCTCTATCCTGTAATATGACTTGATAGCTTTAAACTCCGCACACTGAGCTCTGATTGGTCAGCAGGCGGTGCTTTCACTGACTTGATCTCTTAGCCTGCAACGTAACCTCCTCCCGAGGAGGTTAGCCGCTCAGCATAAGTTACCATGGAGATCTAGCCCGCTAAAAAGAGAACCAGCGTCGTAGGACCGGAAAGCCCGAGTTTTCCCTGAAGTCAGCTGGCTAAGCGAAAATCCGGCTTCGTAGTACAGGCCTCTGGTTGACTATAAAACTATTCAAATTATGTTCAAAGCCGCAAATCAACAATTACCTCATAATATCCAGGGACTTTTCACACAGAGAGAAAACATACACATGTTGAGAGGAAACTGCATTTTCAAAAAACCACCCGTACGAACAAATGCCAAACTTCATTGCATCACAACAAAAGGTGTTAGTCTGTGGAATAACTGTAATGATGCACTGAAATATTGTACAAGTCTATTTAGACTGAAAGTATTATTTAGGAGCCAAATCATGAATGGTTATGAACAGGACCCGTACAATCCCATTTGTTATTTCTTGTAATTGTAAAAGTTATTTATTTCTGATTGTTTTGTAAAAAAAAAACTTAAAGATAATACAAACAAATTAACAAGACAAACATGACGCTGATGACGATGACCTAATATTTTATTTATAAGGAAAATGTACGCTAGAGGGGGTAGGACCAGAAAAGCTTCTTCTTGCCCCTGTTGAACATGACAGAGACTATTTGAGAATGTTTCTACTTTGTTATAATTATTATGATAAGTGAGAAAGGAATATATATATATATCTTATTATTATTGTTTTATGTTTTGTTTCTGACATGTTCAATAAATTGACAAAAAAAGAACAAAAAAAGAGACGTGGGACAACAAAGGTAAGTTCAGAACACAAAGGAATCTGATTATTCTAGACAGACTGCTTACCAGGAATCATTATCATTTTAGTGCTTCATTAAAGTAGTTGAAGTTTGATCTTTAGTAATAACAATACAGATGTCCGTCTCTTAGACTAGATCGACCAACATCACCTGCTATGCTGGGTTAAACCTAGTTTAATTGACTCGACTTGTGTGTTATTGCCTTCCTATCCTCCGTAGGACAAAACGAGGATGACGTTGTGATGGACATGCAGCCGCTCAACGAGGATGGACAACCAGAAAAGAAGAAAAATCAATCAACGAAGACGAAGTCAGTCCTCCAGTTGAAGCTGTACAAACTGACCATGCAGATCGGCAAAGCAGGTACTGATTATATTAAATCATATCATTGTTTGGCATTCTATTTCAGTTTGTAACCTTAATAACTTAACTACATGATTGTCTGTGCACATACAACTTACACACACACACACACACACACACACACACACACACGCACACACACATCTATTTGTCTCTCCTTTTGTCTAATAATACAAATCACAACTGTCAAAAAACTACCATAAACATCATGATTTCACCATCATGAGTTCTAGTGTGTGGTGAAACAATGACTTCCCACTCTCATAAAAGGGTGGTCCTCTTCCCTTTTGAAGATCAATGTAGACACTCCATTGATAACTCATCTTCATCTCATGAAAAAAAACTGGGTTTTAGTCTCAGTTTACTCTCAGTTTGGTCTCTGCATGAAAACACTTTTCACTGCTCAAATCAAATCAAATCAAATCAGGTTTTATTTATAAAGCACATTTAAAAGCGATTTTTGGTCGAGCCAAAGTGCTGTACATGTAATAAAAAACACATTACTACAAAACACAATAAACGACAATAAATTACAACAGATAAAACTATAACAGATATAAAACACACTGAGAAGTCAGGAGTCATGCTCCGCTCTAATTAGAAGGCCAGAGAGAAGAAGTGTGTTTTTAATGTGGATTTAAAAACCCCTAGGGTCTGGGCCGACCTCACATGGAGGAGCAAAGTAATGCTCATTAATGAACTAAAATGTATTTTCGTCTGTGTCTTCAGTACGGCTCATGTCGTCTCTCCCCGTCCTCTTCCTCATCGCTTGCTTCATCGATACCTTCGTGCCTAAAGGTCTCCTTCTGGCAGTCACCATCTCCCTGGCCTATTCAGTCAAGGTCTGTTAGTACACAACATTACACAGCCTGTCACTCACACACTGAACATGTACAGTCAACATAACTAGGTTAAGGACAACATTTGCTACAGGAGTGATAAAATATTCGCTGAATGATGCTGTGTCTCCCTTCCTCCTGTAGATCCTCATTGTGCTGTTTGGGGGTTCACCCTTCAGCTGTCTGGCTCTGAACTGGCAGCAGTGGCTGGTCTGTTGGGGTATGGGTTTCGGCAGCCTACTATGGGGACAGGTGAGACAGGGATGACATGCAATTAAACATTGACCTGGTCCTTTCTGCAGCTGATCATCATTAGACAGTAAAAACAGTCCATACACATGTTCAGCTCATACAGATAGTGTTGCTGATGTGTCTTACTGTTGTGTATTATTACCACCTCAGGTGGTGTCCTGAATCCCAACCTGCTGCTGCCCGAAGGTTCTAAAGCCTGTGACTCGTGCACAAAAGTGACCGCACTGAGATTGGGCAGAAGAAGAGCCAGGGGCCTGTGGAAGAACCATACATGCTGCCTGATCTAAATAAAGTAATATCTGAAGATTCTCATGAAGTCTACAATCTGAACCATGTTGGTAACATCATAAGGATATTCTAAATATTACATGTGTTGTGAAATGGTAACAACCTTTCTCAGGAAAGACTCACTGCCACTGATCAAGTCTGGACCATATATCCTGGCATATGATTAGATTGATCACGGCTCAAACAACCATTAAGACATGTTCTGCGACAGCCAATGGGCAAAAGCTGGTGGAGAGTCGAAGCATGTATGCCATATGTTGAAAAGGTGTCAGATGAGGATCTATTAAAAAATTACACCTGTAGATTACACCTGTAGATTGCAAACTGTAAAAATTACACCTGTAGATTGCAAACTGTAAAAAGCAGGCTTTTAGCTCAGACTATACTTAGGACATATTAAAAGTGCAATTGTTTTTGCCTATCCATATTTTCTAAAGAAATGGGGGGCAGCATTTCACCTCTACTACTGGGTCCATGCGATCTAGATATACAGTCAGTTGTATATCTAAACAAATCGGGTCAGTTACCCAGGGTCAGACCCCCGCTACAGTTGTTGGTTAGCATGCTAATTTCAGTATCTAGCAATTCAATACATTCAATATTTAACATAACTAATCACTGTAACCTCTTCACATTCTGTTGATAATGTAAATATCTGTTCTAATGTTTTAAACAAAAATTCTGTCCTTGTCGTACCCTTATGTATTTAGTCAAAATTAATATATCATATTGATAAAAGTACGCCTATGTGACATGTATATATTTAAGTCAAGTCATACTGCAAGTAAGCTTGCCAACTATATTTAACAGATCATTCATATTTAACGTGAATTGTTTTAATATTTTACAGATTTTGAGGATTCACAAGTAACACTTTCCTTTTAAAGGTGGGGTAGGTAATCCACTTCAGAAACACTTTTTGTTATATTCCATGGAATGCTCTTAACATCCCGATAGAAATGAATACATTAAATGCTTTGACAATAAATATATACAAATATTTCATCTGTGGAAGCCGTGGAAGCCGTGGCGCTGTAAAAAGCACGTCCAATTATCTGCCCCGGCCCGGGTCAGATAATTGGATGGCCTACCTGCCTGTCAGCCTTCCATCTCGTGCACAAACTTATCTCGTGCCCTCATTGGTCATGTGCGCGTTCATGTGTGTTGGAGGAGGGGCTCTGTAAGGAAGTCTGAAGGAAGGGGCAGATTTTTTTCGGTTGTGTACTTTCAAATTCTAGCGCACTCGAGCTGGTTTCTCCATTCTTACCTACCCTACCTACCTTAAGTGTAAAAATGACTTTTATTTAATCACTTTAACTAATGTTACAAACGTGATTTTCTCAACCCCTCTTCCTCACCATCAGTATTTTTCCTATAATCCTGTGTATAATTAGACTTAGGTGATGGGCCCCTGTTTGTTTGAACACATGGGGAACAGACTTTTTCTCAGCAGTCATATTGACTTGTCATTGTAATCAAAATAAATGTGTTAGTGATCTTAACCATTTCATTCATCAATAATTATAGTATGTATTCATGTGTATTTCCTTCAGTGAAATGTCAGAGTGTTGTGTGGAAAAGGCCTGTAAGATGTGGGCTATACCGGAAAGATGGAAAATATTATAAGAGCATCAAATTCAGTGCCTTATTTTTTTCTTTTCTTTTTGTATGGGTAGCCCATGCTCTGTGAACTGCTGAAGCACAATAAGTATATTTCAGGTGAATGGAAACCTTTTGTCTTATGCCACCTAGTGGATGCCTTCCAGATGACCTATTTTGCGCTAACAAATGTGCAGGCCACATTGCATTTCCTGTGACTTCTTCACAACAAAAACCACCCTTGTGTTTTCTCAGTTGCACACTTGAAAATCTAAATAAATTTTATTTTCATGTTGGATTTCACTTAAAAGGGAGTTGCCTTGGTGTTTGATGCATACAATAAACATGTTATGGGTCATGTTACAATACAGTTACGAAATATAAAGTGTAGGCCTACTATTTCTGCATTCCTACCTGTTGATCATCTCACAGTGCTTTTGATATTTTCTTGTGACACCCAACTGCATAAGTTTTAAAATTAGCTCCACCATGACAACATTTAAGTTTACATGCACAAGATGAATCAGTTATACTATTCCAAAAATATATGTGACTCATTAGTTGAGACGTGTTGTGTACTTTGATATTTGACATGTGTAAAATGTTTCTGATCATTTCTGAAAGCTATATAATTAAGATTTTAAACACATGTTGGAATGGAAGACTTGCAGAGGAGTATTTTCTCATTTTTGTATTGCTACTTTTATTTAAGTAAATAATATTGCATCTGCATAGAACAGTTTCACATAAGTAGAAACAACTGATGTTCCTTCAGCAAATTCTAAAATCCACTTTCATTCAAATCTAAATCACATTTTTAATCAGTGGTGCTATCTTTTGTCTAGCTTATCCTTTTTCTTTTTTTGCTTTATTCCCTGCTTTTTTAAAATTGTATCCATACTTGTTGAGCCTTGTTGGACTGACCTAACCAGTTACCTGACCTAAGCCAGAGACTGGACCAGTTTTCCAGCCAGGAGGAACATTGAATCATTGTGTGATACAGCATTCCCACTATCTTTTATGCTACGCACGAAATTCTTTATTATTCCGCCGGGTTATTTTGCACCTCTTCTTCTCCCACATTCCACATCGCAGAAATTCCGTTCAAACATCAAAACGTTCAGCTCGGTCGGGAATCGATGGCTATTACTTTTCTTATTCATAACTTTCATAATTCCAGAGATACATCCCATAATTCATCACATTTTTAACATGGAAGTCAATGGAGAAACTCTTCAGACTTGAGCAATCTTCATGCGACTTCAACTGCTAACTGCTCCTTCATACTTTCACTCAGAAACCTCATTCCAACTTTAAAATGTTACACATCTTTCTGGCATTATTTGTGTAACACAACTTCTAAATCTGATTCCTACTTTTAGAGATATTAAACATTGTTCAGACCTTGGTAAAGAGGCCTTCTTCAGATTTTAGAGTGCGTGATGTCACAGCTGGAGTGGAGGACAGATTTAATTTTGCCTTCATATTTTATTTTAACCTGCCATAATTCCCAAACCCTACATTCCTGAGACATAATTTGTCATGAGAAACGTAAGAAAACATCTCGTAGCTTGAAAAAAAAAATAAAATTAAGCAAAATAATTAAACAAAATGCCTCTTGAGGTCATGAAGTGACTTTCAAAATGTCTCCATTAAACCCCATTGTAAGTTCAGCCTCATCTTTCCCCACCACAGCAGCCGCACAGCTTTAGTTAATCTGCCAAAAAGGCCACATTATTAACCTGAAAGTACACAAAAGTACACTTCAGATGCTCAAGTTCCTTGACATGCTTCACACTTTGAAATTTCACCGATATCTGTTACGGTTCTTCAATAAAACGTTCACATGTAAGAGGTTTATCTCTCATTCAGAACAATGCAAATGCTCTCCTCTCACTGATTACTGCACATCACCATGGAAACCTTTGATCTCTGGACAAATAGCTCAAATATAAACACCTGTGTCATGGAACACGATGATGTCGTAACTCCAACTGACATGCTCAGAGCAGCAGACTTCAGATAATGGTTAACACAGCTCTACGTCAATTATGGGGTGTCATCATATGCCATTTCCATGGAAACGCATCCCTCGCCATAAAACAAGATGTCGCTGTAACTCCAATGGACACGGTCCGATCGCCCCCCAACCTTCGCTTGTATATCACCGGTCCATGCCTCAACAGCTCTACGCCAAATCTGAGATCTCACCATAGGCTGTTTCTATGGAAACGCATCCCTCGCCAAAAAACACGATGTTGTCGTGAAACCTATGCAAATGGTCTAAAACAGCACCAGACTTCAGATAATGGTTAATTGTCCAGCCCTCAACAGCTCTGTCAATTATGGGCAGGGTTGGGTTGTAACGGAATACATGTAACAGAATACATGTAACGGCGTTACGTAATCAGAATACAAAAATCAAGTAACTGTATTCAGCTCGCGTTACATTTGAAAAACGAGTAATCTGATTACAGTTACTTTCGTAAACCTGAAGTGAATACATTTTGGATTACTTATTGGAATTATTGGTGGAAAGATTTTCCTTCTATAAAACAGCTGCGGGCAGCAGATACTGTGAGTGTCACGGACATGAATTCATAGATCAAGGCAGACTGGTGCACAGTGCACACACTCTCCTGTTTTGCCAATCCTGTGCTTAAACAAATATAGCTCTACACCCCTGGCCGAAAAGTCAGAGTTCGACATTTTAATTGATGTCCTGCCAGCACTGGCAGGACAGAAGGCGACACGCCCGTTCTAAGCCGTGTCCCTCACTCCTCACATCCCAAGCTGCATCCCCAAAAAGTTGATTATGTTGTTACATCGTTTCAGATGTTATGTTTCAGTTGTGCTCTTGATAAGCCATTAAAACAGTAAAAACACGTTCAGTTTCCTTTTGCTTTTTGTGTCTCCTGTACACCAAAACATACCCATCTGTGATGGAAAAAGAAAGTAATCCAAAATTAATCTAAAAGTAATCTGAATACGTTACTTTTTTAAGACACGTAACTGTAACTGTATTCGGATTACTTTCAGAGCCATGTATTCAGTAATCAGTAACTGATTACATTTACAAAGTAACCCTCCCAACCCTGATTATGGAGTGTCATCATATGCCATTTCCATGGAAAATCCATCCCTCCATCCCTCGCCATAAAATACAATGTTGTCGTAACTCATATGAAAATTGTCAAAACAGCACCAAACTTCAGATGATGGCTAATGGTCCAGCCTTCAACATGTCCATGTGCCATTAGTGAGTTTTCCTCAAAAGATGTTGCCATGGCAACGCATCCCTCGCCGTCAAACACGATATTGCTATAACTCCTATGAAAATCGTCAACAAGTGTTTAAACTTCATGTGTGCTAACAGTCCAGCCGTGACAGTTTTGAGATTTCTCCAAATGCCGTTGCCATGGTAACACAAGGCTCGCCATGAACCACGGTTTTCTCATAACTTCAGTGAAAATGCTCCAAACGGCAAAAAACTTCACAGGTTTGGGAACGATGCAGCCATCAACACATCTAAGCGTATTATGGGGTGTCATCAAATACCGTTGCCATGGCGACAGATCATTCGCGATCAAGTTAGTTCAAAAGTTTGCAGTTCAAATATTCTGCTGCTTATCCAAGCCTTTTTACTTTATGTAATTCTCTTATCACACAGTGTTCATGTATCATTTCAATCTAAATTCTTCACTTTCTTCTTACACATTACATTTCAGCATAGCAGTTTAGCGTCAGCTTTTCAGCATAAAGCATTCCCACTAGCAATTTCTTCAGGAATTATAAAACTGCTACTGTAAACTTCTCTACATCTTTATGAAACGATTGCGGGTTTCCCTTCCCGTTTCCAAGCAGCAACAGTGATTCATGCCTCTGTCAATGCTGAAGAAGCAAAACTAACAAAAGATAGTTTTGTTAGTTGACGTCTATATTATTATCCTATAGGGAAAAGGTCAATATCACGACAGCTAAACATCTCATTATCAATCCATAGGCTAAAATTAGGACATTTATCATTAGTCTTAAACAATACTTTCATGATGGCGGATTCAGGGGAAGTTTGCATGCGGTGGCGATGTGACGCTCTTCCTTCAGATTGGTTTCACGTGATTAAGAAAAATGTTCAACTCAGCAGATACGCGGGTGGGTACAGTTTGTCCAGAGCAGGGTTCATTACGAGACTACTGAGTGTTTGCTGTGCAGCGCTGCAGGGGATCACGATGGAGAAAGTGCTTGTGCTCCCACTGTTTCTCCTCCTTTCAGCATTAACAGGTGAGAACGTGCTCTCAGAGGGTTTGGTTGGATGGTTGCAGAGGTGGGAAGTACGTTTACTCAAGTACTGTACTTAAGTACAATTTTGAGGTACTTGTACTTTACTTGAGCATGTCCATGTTATGCTACTTTGTACTTCTACTACAAATCAGAGGTACATGGTGTACTTTTACTCAACTACATTTAATTAAAACCTTTAGTTATTTTACAGATTTGGATTAATGATGTGTAATATAATCAACACTAAATCAGAATGTAGTTACACTTGGAGTGAATTCACACAAGCTACCCTGCAGTATACAGAGTCATTGAACTAGCTGCACCTTTACCAACTTTTGATACATTTTAATGCATCAATTGTTATAATCAGAACATATAAGATTATTCTGAAATGGGCCAATCTGCACAATGAGTCCTTTAACTTGTATGTACTTTAAGTATATTTTGATGCTAATACTTTTGTACTTTTACTTGATTAACACTTTGAAAGCAGAACTTTTACTTGTAACAGAGTATTCCTACACTCTGGTACTTCTACTTTTACTCAAGTACAAGATCTGAGTACTTCTCCCACCTCTGGATGGCTTGATAGGCAGGTTTGGGGAGTAATGGATTACATATAATGGGATTACGTAATCAGGATACGAAAAAAGGTACTGTGTTCCCTTACAGGTTGTATTTTGTCTTTGTAAGCTACTGTCATGTAGGCTTATACTGTTAGGTTGAATCTATATACCTACCGTCTGAATTTGCTTTGATGTTTTTCACTTTCTTTGTTAAAATGTTTGGGTTATTGTTATGTATTAATCTAAAATGGAGCATTTCTGTTATCTCATATTCTTTACTTTTTTTAACTATAGTTTGGGTCCATGCCTCTGAAATGTAGTGTAAAATGATAGCATCAGAACATGTAAATGCTTAAAGGGGGACCTATCATGCAAAATGCACTTTTGTACGTCTTTTATACATGATATGTGTCCCGGTGTCCAGGGAACTCACCAAGTGTCAGAAAACACAACCCTCTCTATTTTCCTCCATACCCAAATCTCTAAAAAAGGGGCTGCCAACAGATCTGATAAAACTGATCCAGATTTGAACACTTTCCTGACGTCAGGACAGTGGCGCTACGGCTATTGGGCCAACTCCACCAATCAGGAGGAGACAACCACGGCATTGCCGTTCGAAAGCGCTGGAGACGTTGTAGTACATATGCCAGGCCTCTAGATGGTGCTGTTTGCTCACAGAATCAACCCTTGCTAAAACAGATCTAAAAAATGTCAAATTGAGCAAAATGAGGCATGGCTAAAATGCATGATCTGTTTGGTATTTTGAAAAAAAAAAAGTATAAATATGCCTTATATAGGTATGGTCCTACACTATATTATTCAAATATAGCATGATAGGTCCACTTTAAATAAAGTATGCTAAAAATAGACTCAAAATACTGGAAGAGTACTGGAATAAATCTGTAGGGAAGAAACACCATGTCAGGGGCATGTCAGGACATAATGTTCCTGACATGCCCCAAAATACAATAACTGCACAGACTGTTTCTATGCTATATAGTGGCATACAGATATGATCACCATGGATATTAAACATTGTGCAACTATTGCATACACTTTTAAATGTTGGATACATTTGCCAATCACTTATTTTCTTTAAGCTTGTTATTTTAGTTTGATGGAAAATGCATTAACAGGCAGCAACAAAAATAGGATGGTTAAAAACCGCAGCTACCAACCCACAAACTGTCAAATAAATCAACCTAGTTTTATTTTTGAATGTGATTCAACAGTCAATTCAGATTTGGCTTCTCTTCTTTTCACATGCAATGTACCTCTGTCCATCTGAGTATCTCACCAACTTTTTCTCACAAGCCAATCAGAGCAGACATTTAATAATAGTGTTATTGTAGGAACTATTTTCTTTCCTTATCACCAAGCAGAAGGAAGCATATATTCTATAGGACAGGGGTGTCAAACTCAAGGCCCAGGGCTTCATACTATGTGGCCCCGCCAGAGCTCTGAAATAAGATAATATGTTTATTATACGTTACATGCCGATTTACAGAAGCATGTCCCACAATCAGGGCTCGAGCTTAAGGACGTCCCGTCGTCCCGGGGCCGAAAAAAATAGGGTCGGGGAGGATAAAAAATAATCTTGGGACGAATTTGGGACGAGAGTTAAAATAAAAATACCCTGATAACTCTACTACAGTACGAACGGCGATGAAAATGAAACTGACTGCACGTTTTGTGTAGCACACAGTTTATTAAACCTCCTTGTCAACATAAACACACAAGCACAAAACATTTAGCAAACCGCGAAATATACACACACACACACACACACACACACACACACACACACACACACACACACACAGCTGTGCCCGCAAACTCCTGGCCCGCAAATTATTGGGTCTAGCTATCTACTGAGTGTGTGTATTTCGCGTTGAGTGATGTACAATGACAATGGCATTCCCGTGGAGGAATTCTGCAATTGTTTACGTTACATCACGAAAACGCACAGCAGAACCTAACCCTGGAGCGCCGGCCTCTTTATTTACTAACTCCTCTTCATCCCCTATGGTAATAAGGCTGAGATGAGAACTCTCCATCGTATTTAGTCCTTAGCAATATGCTGCGTCTCTCCCCATGTAGGGATGGGTACCGAGCCCCGGTATTAAACGGGCCCCGGGCCGGAATTATTAAAGACAGTGGTAGCGTTAAGCTCCGACGTTATCTGACTTTTTATCGGTAGTGGAGACATTTAAAACATATATGTCATGTATTATTGCTACATGAACATTATATCGCAGTTTTAGTTTCGCCAACTCCGTTTCTAATATGCAATAAGTCTACAAAATGCGTCTATGATGTATTTTTCGATCTTATTTTCGATCTTTCCAATCCAGACGAGAGAGCTCTCTCCCCCGTCTGTGTGCGAGGGGGCGGGGCAGTTTGTGAAGGTCTCCTGACTGTGTTACAGACTGTCATCCTGGTTAGTGTTACTCTGGGTTCTGTCTTCTGTCTTCAGGACAGAGTGTTGGATGTTTTTGATAATTGGATAGAACTTGATTGGATTCAATATTAGAGTAACTTTCTCGCTTGTGTGTTTTTTTTTAAATATATTTGGCCTTTGTTTATGTGTTTGACTGATTTACTCAATTAAAAGGTTGATGAATTATCATCTAATGATTGTATGATGTTTTATTTATGTTAAGGTCACTTTGAATGATTTTAACTAATGATAATGTAGAAAAACTAATATTTTAAATTCGGGACGGTCCACATTAATTTCGGGACGGCTTAGATTGTATTTCGGGACGGTTCCGGGAGGATGGTGAAAGAAGTTAGCCGAGAGCCCTGCCCACAATGCATCTCAAATATGCCTTTTTTTCAGAATTTGACTTGTCTTTCTTCAAAATGTGCCTTTTTCTTAGAATTTACCTTTTTTTTCAAAATGTCACTTCTTTTTTTCAAAATGTCACTTCTTTTTTTCAAAATGTCACTTCTTTTTTTCAAAATGTCACTTCTTTTTTTCAAAATGCCACTTCTTTTTTTCAAAATGTCACTTCTTTTTTTCAAAATGTCACTTCTTCTTTTTTTTTTTACTTGTCTTTTCAGAATTTGGCTTTTCTTTTTAAATCATTTTGTGACATTCTCACTGAAGAGACTTGCAATTATTTGCCCTAGACTTCTGCTTTCAGACGTAGTTATTTATTAAGTTATTACCCTATCTGATAATAATCCAATGCAGAGGCAATAATGTAATATAATACATTATTTTATATATATTAAATATTTATATATTACATCACATTACATGTTACTTGTTCGATATATATGTATTTTTATATAGTCTTAAAGTTACAACCGGCCCTTTGAGTGCAACCATAATGCTGATGTGGCCCGCGATGAAATTGAGTTTGACACCCGTGCTCTAGGACATGAAACTCCCCTGAGTCTCTGTACCAGCTCAGCTGAAGGAGAAAACTTGTGAAATGTGTAATTCTTGCGTTGTCCCCAGTATGATACCTGCATAGATATGAGTTTCCTTCTTTGTTGTGATATAGTTGAAAGAAAATAGTTCCCACATGAAACTGCCCATAACAAAATGTCAGTGTTATATTCAGTAACCGGCTCATGATTTCTGGAAGAGACATTGCTGTTGTTTTTTTCCAATGTTTTTGAGAATTACAAACCCAAGTGCCATCTAGATTCATTATTTTTGAGAGCAATCATCTTTCAGACAATATTTAACATTATACAATCTAGGGTGACACACTGAACATATACGGTAAGTGACAAGCCATAGGCCAGTTTCAAGTTTTTATAAAGATAACCTTTATAACCCAATGTGTGACACTCATTTGCAGGTGTGTGTCCCCGGAGCCCCACAGAGATTTATGTGAAAGCTGGTGAGATGGTGGCGCTGTACTGCCCCCTGAATGGAGAGGATAATCACCGTGATGCTGAGCTGATCTGGACCAGTCCCACCAGCCAGGAGATGGATCAGACCCCCAACATGTCGTCAGCTGAGCAGAGGCACAGGGACCTGCTGGTTCATGGGAAGAGCCTGGTGATTCTCAACGCCACTGCAAACCATCAGGGGAATTACTCATGCTCTCTGGGGTAACACTTATCAGTGCTACCACTATTATTACTTTATTTAAGGTCTGACAGTATACAAAATGTGGCATACTGTAAGTATCTTTGTGCATTTATCTGCCAGTCATGCCAATGGACTCCTAAAATAGAAAGCATTTATATGTATAGTCCTGGATGTCTTCATACAAAGCAAGCTAGTAATGACAGACAATAACCTGATCCCAGGGACGCCTCCCCTGAAGTCTTCATTTGAAAACCAAATACATCACGAAGAGACATCAAAGCTTTCCTGTTTCCTGAACTGTTCACAGCTTTCTAGTAACCATGTCAAGATACAAATGTTGAGTTTCATGTGCAGATCTTGTAAAATGATGCCAAAACTACCTGTGTGTCGAAAAACAAGAGGGAAATGTATAATTGAGAAACTGATTTATTTTCACATTCATTATGAGTGTTTGGTATTCAGATGAAACCTTTATATTAACCTTTTTCCTTATTGTCATGACAGCAACTCCAGCAGACAGCTCTGGTTCAGGGTGACAGTTTACACAAAGCAGAGAAACGAAAGCACCGACCCTCAAATATGTTATACACGGGAGGTCTGCAGATTGATTGTCCTAATGTAAACGCACCTGCTGCAACCAGCAACAACGACATTTGGCACAAGGTATAAGCACAACATATTTCCATACATTGCTCAGGTGGTCATTGTTCTGAAAGAACGTTTTAGCCCATGTTATGACCAATTTGAAATATAATGCATTTTCTATATTTAAGGCTCGTTTTCATTCATTTAAAAAGAAAATTACAACTTAATTTTCCTTGTAGGAAGGCGAGTTCATCGCCAAAAGCCAGTAACTTCTCAAGTGTTGAAGAGAAGACCATGGTGTCTACACCTGTACCAGATCTTACCTGTATTATGGACACATATATAACATGACCTTTACAGTGGTGCTTGATATCCAACCAAAGGGTAAGAAAAACACTTACCCACCATATGTTTACTTTGTATTTTGAAGAAAACAGATGTAAAATGTTTCCACCCTTTCTTCACCCAGAAAACTTCACTTCCTCCAGCGATCATATCACCACAAAGTGGTGTAATTCATGTAAATTTGGGTGAGCATAAATCTTGAAGCGTGGATACACACAAATGGATGAACGCACGCATTTACCCTCTTACTAAATGAACAAATTATGGAACTGTGTAAACTCTGTTTTTTTCTAGGCTCTCCAAAGGTGATTGATTGTATAGCTCGCATGTATTCGGACTTTGATGAGGTGTTCTGGTTTAGCACAGATTCATTAGTGGAAACAAACAGTAGCTTTCCCGTTTTCTACAATTACACAAAGTAAATGTTTCACACAAATATACTGGCAAGTTCAAATGTTATACAGTCCATACCCAGGTATTCACACACACGTATCATAACTAACATATGTACTTTCCCATTCCTTTCCAGTGAAATAAATGGTACAGAGATAAAGATGACGGCATCTCTAGTTTTCAAAAAGGTGTCGGATGAGGATCTATTAAAAAATTACACCTGTAAACTGCAAACTATTACTGGACCCTCAACAAGTGTCACCATCAGCTTGTCCCAAAAACGTATGTAAGACGGACGGATAGATATAATTCATGTTCATATCCTTCCCTCAAATTTTACATAAACTCATAGTGGTACTTTTTGAGTGGGCTGAGTCAAAATATAACATCAGAAATGTTAGTTAGAGTTAGCTTTCGTTTTTTGAAGAAAACAGATGTAAAATGTTTCCACCCTTTCTTCACCCAGAAAAACCTGAACATTCTCCAGCGATCATATCACCACAAAGTGGTGTAATTCATGTAAATTTGGGTGAGCATAAATCTTGAAGCGTGGATACACACAAATGGATGAACGCACGCATTTACCCTCTTACTAAATGAACAAATGATGGAACTGTGTAAACTCTGTTTTTTTCTAGGCTCTCCAAAGGTGATTGATTGTAAAGCTCTCATGTATTCGGACTTTGATGAATTGTTCTGGCTTAGCACTGATTCATTTGTGGAAACAAACAGCAGCTTTCCCGTTTTCTCCAATTACACAAAGTAAATGTTTCATACAAATATACCGGCAAGTTCAAATGTTATACAGTCCATATCCAGATATTCACACACACGTATCATAACTAACATATGTACTTTCCTTTCCTTTCCAGTGAAATAAATGGTACAGAGATAAAGATGACGGCATCTCTAGTTTTCAAAAAGGTGTCAGATGAGGATCTATTAAAAAATTACACCTGTAAACTGCAAACTGTTACTGGACGCTCAACATTTGTCACCATTAGCTTGTCCCAAAAACGTATGTAAGACGGACGGATAGATATAATTCATGTTCATATCCTTCCCTCAAATTTTACATAAACTCATAGTGGTACTTTTTGAGTGGGCTGAGTCAAAATATAAAATCAGAAATGTTAGTTAGAGTTAGTTTTCGTTCAAGTGACTGTCTACGACCATTATAATCATTTTAAATGACTGTTTAATACAAATATGTTTCCACTGTTATCTCCCTACAGATTCCCCTTCTCATGTTCCCCTGGCTCTTGGCATTGTCGGCTTTGTGGTGATGATTTTGGCAGTAGTTGTCTATGTGAGGTTCAAAATGATCAGTATGCGTACAAATCAGACTATACTTAGGACATATTAAAAGTGCAATTGTTTTTGCCTATCCATATTTTCTAAAGAAATGGGGGGCAGCATTTCACCTCTACTACTGGGTCCATGTGATCTAGATATACAGTCAGTTGTATATCTAAAAAAATAAGGGTCAGTTACCCAGGGTCAGACCCCCGCTACAGTTGTTGGTTAGCATGCTAATTTCAGTATCTAGAAATTCAATACATTCAATCTTTAAAGGTGGGGTAGGTAATTTTGGAGAAACCAGCTCGAGTGCGCTACAATTTGAAAATACACAGCCGGAAAAAATCTACCACTTCCTTATAGAGCCCCTCCTCCAACACACACGAACGCGCACATGACCAATGAGGGCACGAGATAAGTTTGTGCACAGATGGAAAGCTGACAGGCAGGTAGGCCATCCAGTTATTTTAGCCGGGCTGGCTAAAATGATTGGTCGTGCTTTTTACAGTATTACGGCTTCCACAGATGGCATTTTTGTATGGATTTTTTGTCAAAGCACTTAAGATATTCATTGCTATCGGGATGTTAAGAGCATTCCATGGAATATAACAAAAAGTGTATCTCGAGACGGTTTCTCAAACTTACCTACCCCACCTTTAAAAATCAAAATAAAGTTTATTTTCATGTTGGATTTCACTTAAAAGGGAGTCGCCTTGGTGTTTGATGCATACAATAAACATGTTATGGGTCATGTTACAATACAGTTACAAAATATAAAGTGTGCTGTTTCTGCATTCCTACCTGTTGATCATCTCACAGTGCTTTTGATAATTTCTTGTGACACCCAACTGTATAAGTTGTAAAATTAGCTCCACGATGACAACATTTAAGTTTACATGCACAAGATGAATCAGTTATACTATTCCAATAATATATGCGACTTATTAGTTGAGACGTGTTGTGTACTTTGATATTTGACATGTGTAAAATGTTTCTGATCATTTCTGAAAGCTATATAATTAAGATTTTAAATACATGTTTGAATGGAAGACTTGCAGAGGAGTATTTTCTCATCTTGGTATTGCTTCTTTTACTTAAGTAAATAATATTGCATCTGCATAGAACTGCACAAATGCAACAGTTTCACATCAATCAATCAATCAATGTTTATTTATATAGCCCAATATCACAAATGTTACATTTGTCTCAGTGGACTTCACAGTTTGTACAGAATATCAGTATGACAAAACGACACCCTCTGTCCTTAGACCCTCACATCGTACAAGGAAAAACTTCCAAAAAATGAAAAACCCCACAGTTTAAAGGGGAAAATGGGAGAAACCTCAGGGAGAGCAACAGAGGAGGGATCCTCTCCCAGGACGGACAGACGTGCAATAGATGCCGTGTGTAAATCGAAAAGATAATACATTTTACAGCATAGGTAGACCAAATGTTTGAAAATGCATGTGTCTATAATAAGAAGATGAATCCACGAGGATGTCAACAATCCTGTGGGAGCCATCAGGGAAGTAGTATGATGAGAGTCAGGCAGGACCACAGTGACAGGTTCAGCCACGACTCGAAATCCAGGCCTCACATCCAGAATTCAGGATAGAGAATCCAGGACACAGGATCCAGGACTCAGGACTAAGGACCGCAGCAACAGGATCAGCCACGACTCAGGATCCCGGCGTAGATAGACACCAAAAAGAAATTTGGGGGAAGCTGGGTTATTCGCAACATGAGAGTACACAGGTACAGACAGACAGAAGGAAGAAGTAAGGTGTCCCCCGACAGTCTAAGACCCCATTTACACGGGAACGAAACGGGTTGTATCCGCATAGTTTCTCTTGCGTATAGCCCTTTCATTTACACAAGGCCGTAACAAAACGATAGAAATGGCTCCGTGTAATCGCCTCTATACGATCATTTCCCGATAGATGAAGCCATAGCCCCGCCTCTCCCCACCTTTGCTGCTCACTGCTGTAGCATGGTCAGTAGCTACTGCTACTGACCATGCTACAGATGTTAGTACAACATCTACAGCTCGACCATGCTACAGATGTTAGTGCAAAATCTACAGCTCCTCTACCACAACCATCAGCAACAAGTGGGCATGGAGAATTACATGAACTACTACATGTTGCTAAATCCACCGCGGGGCATAAACAGAAGGGCAACCATGGCAACCATGCTCCGGGGTCTTCTTCGCTGCTTTTGGTGTATTTTGTGGCGGAAGTTACACCACCAGTACAGGCCCGGCATATGTACTACAGTGTGTCCAGCACTTTCGAGCGGTCTCGTGTGGAAGTACAGCGCCACTTACAGTCCCGGCATATGTACTACAGCGTTTCCAGCGGTCTCGTGTGAACAGACACGTTAAATGAAACGAATGCGTGTGAACGGAAGACTTTTTTGAAAACGCATACTGTGCATAAACGCAAACGTTCCCGTGTAAAGGCAGCCTAAGCCTATAGCAGCAAAACTAACGTGTCTACGTACATGCACTCCCTTAGAATAGGTTGAGGGAAAGGGGTAGTAAGTAAGAATTAAGGAACAGAGGTGGAGAGGCACAACGTGTCTACGTACATGCACTCCCTTAGGATAGGGTGAGGGAAAAGAGTAGGAACTAAGATGTATGCGCCACATCTATACCATGAGCGCATTGCTCCTAAAACATTTCTTTTGGCACTGACATTAATCAACAGTTGTGCGTCGACTCGGCAGGGATCAAGGCGCGTATATGCCTCTCCCTGCTTCCACCATCTACAAACACAACCAAATAAGAAACATAATTAGAAAGTTTTGTGAGTTGACGTCTATATTATTCGTCTATATTATTCTCATAATATAGGGAAAAGGTCAATTTCACGAAAGCTAAACATCTCATTATCAATCCATAGGCTAAAATGTGCACATTTATCATTAGTCTTAAACAATACTTTCATGATGGGGGATTCAGGGGAAGTTTGCATGCGGTGGCGATGTGACGCTCTTCCTTCAGATTGGTTTCACATGATTAGGAAACATGTTCAACTCAGCAGATACGCGGGTGGGTACAGTTTGTCCTGAGCAGGGTTCATTACGAGACTACTGAGTGTTTGCTGTGCAGCGCTGCAGGGGATCACGATGGAGAAAGTGCTTGTGCTCCCACTGTTTCTCCTCCTTTCAGCATTAACAGGTGAGGACGTGCTCTCAGAGGGTTTGGTTGGATGGCTGCAGAGGTGGGAAGTACGTTTACTCAAGTACTGTACATAAGTACAATTTTGAGGTACTTGTACTTTACTTGAGCATGTCCATGTTATGCTACTTTGTACTTCTACTACAAATCAGAGGTACATGGTGTACTTTTACTCAACTACATTTAATTAATACCTTTAGTTGTTTTACAGATTTGGATTAATGATGTGTAATATAATCAACACTTAAATCAGAATTTAGTTACACTTGGAATGAATTCACAAGCTACCCTGCAGTATACAGAGTCATTGAAACTAGCTGCACCTTTACCAGCTTTGATAACATTTTAATGCATCAATTGTTATAATCAGAACATATAAGATTATTCTGAAATGGGCCAATCTGCACAATGAGTCCTTTAACTTTTATGTACTTTAAAGGGGACCTATCATGCAAAATGCACTTTTGTACGTCTTTTATACATGAATATGTGTCCCCGGTGTTCCAGGGAACTCACCAAGTGTCAGAAAACACAACCCTCTCTATTTTCCTCCATACCCAAATCTCTAAAAAAGGGGCTGCAACGGATCTGATAAAAACTGATCCAGATTTGAACACTGTCCTGACGTCAGGACAGTGGCGCTACGGCTATTGGGCCAACTCCACCAATCAGGAGGAGACAGCCACGGCCATTGCCGTTCGAAAGCGCCGGAGACGCTGTAGTACATATGCCAGGCCAGTAGATGGTGCTGTTCTCACAGAATCTGCCCTTGCAAAAACAGAGCTAAAAAATGTCAAATTGAGCTAAATGAGGCATGGCTAAAATGCATGATCTGTTTGGTATTTTGAAAAAAATTAATGTATAAATATGCCTTATATAGGTATGGTCCTACACTATATTATTCAAATATAGCATGATAGGTCCACTTTAAGTATATTTTGATGCTAATACTTTTGTACTTTTACTTGATTAACACTTTGAAAGCAGAACTTTTACTTGTAACAGAGTTCCTACACTCTGGTACTTCTACTTTTACTCAAGTACAAGATCTGAGTACTTCTCCCACCTCTGGATGGCTTGATAGATGGATAGACAGGCTTGGGGAGTAATGGATTACATATAATGGGATTACGTAATCAGGATACAAAAAAATGTAACTGTGTTCCTTTACAGGTTGTATTTTTTCTTTGTAAGCTATACTGTTATGTAGGCTTATACTGTTAGGTTTAATCTATATACCTACCGCCGCCTGAATTTGCTTTATGTTTTTCATTGTTACATTTTTTGGGTTATTGTTATGTATTAATCTAAAATGGAGCATTTCTGTTATCTCATATTCTTTGCTTTTTTTAAAACTATAGTTTGGGTCCATGCCTCTGAAATGTAGTGTAAAATTATCACTTATTTTCTTTAAGCTTGTTATTTTAGTGTGATGGAAAATGCATAACAGGCAGCAAAAAAATGAGGATGTGGTTAGAAACCGCTCTACCAACCCACAAACTGTCAAATAAGACAACCTACTTTTATTTTGTTTTCAAACAAGTGATTCAACAGTCAATTCAGATTTGTATGAGGGGCCGTACAGGCCGTAATTCATACTGGTCCTCTCACACACATACATTCTCCTTTTACATACATACATTTTCACTCTCACACACATACATATTTACACTCACACATTCATACATTTTGCTCTCATATTATCATATTTTAATGCACACATTCATATATTGTCACTCACATATTTATACATTTTGCTCTCATATTCATATATGTAACGCTCATATTATACATTTTGCTCTCATGCACATTCATTCAATGTTTACATTTAATATTATAAATAATATATGCATGTCTGAAAACAATATATGTATGCAAGAGAAGAATGCATGTATGTGTGAGAGAAAGTATAGTGGAAACGGAAGGAGTATAGTTGAAACGGAAGGCAGGTCATTATCGCGCTTTATTACATGGCTTAGTTGAACACTCGATTCTGATTGGTCAATTCAGAACACGTGACACGTTGTTAATCCAGAACAGACAGACCGCTGTCAAGGACTTATTGACCGTTGTTAAGGATGCTCACATCTGCACAAACAAGTCAGTTCGATTTAACTGTATACAGTTTGGCCGGACATAGACATCAAACGGCAAAACATATTCAGTGTGCAGTTCCTTTGGCATTAGGGCAGGGAAATCTAGATACTTTCCAAGGTTTGACATAATGAATTGTGCTACTTTTAAAGCAAGCAACGATGTTTTCAAATCTGTAATCAAAAATGTCCTCAAAAACGCTATCGAAGCAGTTCCTGCCGTTGCTACGTTAGTTCAAACAGTAACAACGGACTATTTTCTTAGCGGATGCATGTCAATTTAAATCAATACATACAACTATTTTTTAAATCAATAAAATCATTTTCTAAATCCATAAAAGCATTTCAATTAATATTGGGAGTCATATCGTTACTTTGTTGAGAATGTGGCCATGTAATAAGCGGGATAATGTGCAGCGACGCGGTCATTATGGGGAAAAGAACACCGACAGGCTGATCAGGAGCCCGACGCGAAGCGGAGGGATCTAGATCGGCATGAAGGAGGGCGATCTTCGGACCATTTGTTTTTTTTTATTAAAAAAGTAAATGGAAGATCGTCTGCGAGGCGTTTTTGCTTTTTGCCTTACCAGATGGTCTAATGGTCATTGGAGCGAGGAGGAAAATGACCAAAAAATATTTGCAAATGAATCAAGGTGTAAAGATATATATCACTTCTGGTTTTACAAGAAGTCATGTGCAAGACTATTTCTTGCCTGGGTGTGGTTACTTCTGGGTGACAGATTTCAGGGTTGGTTCTTATATTATTTGTATTAATATAAGAAGAATTTGGCTGTAGCTTCATATTCTTCTACAGACATAAGAGTGGTGTCTATCATCTTAATCTTGGCAGGTAATAACATACTTTGCAAATGTCTAACTATTCCTTTAATAACATTCAGAATTGAAGCTATGCTCTGATTGGTTGACAGCAGTGAAGTATCCATTTACTGATTTTTTATTAGAAAAACTAATTTCCCATATCCTTTGACCATAAAATATTACTTTTCATCTTTAGTTGATTTTTAAGGCCCATAAACACATTAATATATTTAGGTATTGGAAAGTACAATTAACAAAAAATGTGTGACACTCATTTGCAGGTGTGTGTCCCCGGAGCCCCACAGAGATTTATGTGGAGGCTGGTGAGATGGTGGCGCTGTACTGCCGTCTGAAAGGAGAGGATAATCACCGTGATTGCTGAGCTGATCTGGACCAGTCCCCCCAGCCAGGAGATGGATCAGACCCCCAAGCTGGTTCATGGGAGGAGCCTGGTGATTCTCAACGCCACTGCAAAACCATCAGGGGAATTACTCATGCTCTCTGGGGTAAAGTCAAACCAAGTGATAAAGAGTATTTATCTTTTACAATCAATCAAATTCTCGGAATCTGACATTAAGCAAGGATATGAATAGTGACATAAATAGTTTCGGACATGTAAACAGTTTTTATAACCTCCTTGGCGGACAAGTCTTTTCACTCAAATCCATCCAAGTCATGGACCAGTCCAGACTTTATGGGGCCCATGAATGTCTGTTTTAGAAACTGTTCCTTGAAGCCGTCTCTATCTTATGTTTAGAACCTCTGCAAAATGTTTAAAACCTAAATGTGAAATCTTTTGACATGACAGCAATACCAGCAGCCAGCTTTGGTTCAGACTGAGAGTTTGTACAAAACAGTCCAGAGGGTGCGAGCAGAGGAGCCATTACCCTAAGACATGTCACTCACAAGAGGCCTGCCCATTGGATTGTCCTGATGTAAACACACCAGCTGCAATCACCCTCAACATTACCAGCAATGGCGTTATATGGTACAGGGTAAGTCGACTCAAGATATTCTTGATTTTATTGGGAAATTAAAAGCTTCATTTTGCATTGTACATTATTTGTTTTTACATTATCACGCCATATCTCTATTCATTGTATGCGTAAATTGACAAGTACATTTTTCTTGTAGGAAGGCGAGTCATCGCCAAAAGCCAGTAACTTCTCAAGTGTTGAAGAGAAGAACCATGGTGTCTACACCTGTACCAGATCTTACCTGTATTATGGTAAAATATATAACATGACCTTTACAGTGGTGCTTGATATCCAACCAAAGGGTAAGAAAAACACTTACCCACCATATGTTTACTTTTGTATTTTGAAGAAAACAGATGTAAAATGTTTCCACCCTTTCTTCACCCAGAAAAACGTCGACTTCCTCCAGCGATCATATCACCACAAAGTGGTGTAATTCATGTAAATTTGGGTGAGCATAAATCTTGAAGTGTGGATACACACACATGGATGAACGCATGCATTTACCCTCTTACTAAATGAACAAATTATGGAACTGTGTAAACTCTGTTTTTTTCTAGGCTCTCCAAAGGTGATTGATTGTAAAGCTCGCATGTATTCGGACTTTGATGAGGTGTTCTGGTTTAGCAGTGATTCATTTGTGGAAACAAACAGCAGCTTTCCCGTTTTCTACAATTATACAAAGTAAATGTTTCACACAAATATACCGGCAAGTTCAAATGTTATACAGTCCATACCCAGATATTCACACACACGTATCATAACTAACATATGTACTTTCCCTTTCCTTTCCAGGGAAATAAATGGTACAGAGAGAAATATAACGGCATCTCTAGTTTTCAAAAAGGTGTCGGATGAGGATCTATTAAAAAATTACACCTGTAAACTGCAAACTGTTAATGGACGCTCAACAAGTGTCACCATCAGCTTGTCCCAAAAACGTATGTAAGACGGACGGATAGATATAAATCATGTCATATCCTTCCCTCAAATTTTACATAAACTCATAGTGGTACTTTTTGAGTGGGCTAAAGTCAAATAATAAAATCAGAAATGTTAGTTAGAGTTAGCTTTCGTTCAAGTGACTGTCTACAACATTGTAATCATTTTAAATGACTGTTTAATACAAATATGTTTCCACTGTTATCTCCCTACAGATTCCGTTCTATGTTCCCCTGGCTCTTGGCATTGTCGGCTTTTGTGGGTGATGATTTTGGCAGTAGTTGTGAGGTTCAAAATCATCAGTTATGCGTACAAATCAGACTATACTTAGGACATATTAAAAGTGCAATTGTTTTTGCCTATCCATATTTTCTAAAGAAGGGGGGCAGCATTTCACTCTACTACTGGGTCCATGCGATCTAGATATACAGTCAGTTGTATATCTAAAAAATAAGGGTCAGTTACCCAGGGTCAGACCCCCCGCTACAGTTGTTGGTTAGCATGCTAATTTCAGTATCTAGAAATTCAATACATTCCATCTTTTAATATAACTAATCACTGTAACCTCTTCACATTCTGTTGACAATGTAAATATCTGTTCTAATGTTTTTAAACAAAAATTCTGTCCATGTCTTACACACTGTAACCCTTATGTATTTAGTCAAAATGAATATATCATATTGATAAAAGTAGGCCTATGTGACTGTGAGGAAGCGCATGCACACACTCCCTCACTAACATTTTGGCTTACTATTTGTTTGTTAAGAAAGGTAGTACATGTCTCTTCAGAGTTGTCTTTATTTCAGTTAAAGTTATAAAAACAGTTTACATAGACAAATTAATAAAATGCAATCTAAATGAATTTGTCAGTCTTTAAAACACACCAATCACAAAGTAATCACCATTGCCTTTGTTCAGACTGGAAGCCATCTTGTGCCAGTGCTCAAAGGGGGACCACGCCTCCAAGTACTCCTTATATGTGCCGTATGAGTAGGCGGAGTCTTGGACGTGATTGGTCAGGAAAATGTGTGATGTATGAGTGTCAATTAGGTTAAAAATGATCCGTTTTAAAGGCAGACCCTTGTGTTTTTTAAGGGTACCATATTTATGTTGATGCAATTATGAAATTGACTATAGCCTTTAGGGCAGGGGTCTCAAACTCAAGGCCCGGGGGCCAAATCCGGCCCGCGACTTCATTTTATGTGGCCCCGCAAGAGCTTGCAAAGAATATAATACGTTTATTATACGGTTACATGCCACTTTACAGAAGCAGGTTGCCCATAAACAATGCATCTCGTTTTGTGACATGGGCACTGACAGAGACTTGCAATTATTTGCCCTGGACTTATGCTTTCAGACGTAGTTAATTACTAAGTTATTATCCTATCCGATAATAATCCAATTCAGAGGCAATAATGTAATATAATACATTATTTTATATATATTATATATTTATATAGTTACAAACCGGCCCTTTGAGTGTAACCTTTATGCGAATGTGGGCCGCGATGAAATTGAGTTGACACCCCTGCTTTAGGGGTGTTATTAAATGTAGACAACAGTGTTTAATTTTGTATTTAACCCTTCACCTCCGCTTTCAGACCATGACCTGGTTGGCCAGGTTGGATTGGGAAGGCAGGCAGTCTCCTATAAATGTGGTTGGGAAGAGAGGGGAGGGGGGCATTTGTGTTTGTTCCTTGCTGGTGAACGCAGCACCAGGCATGAAGTTTTGTGTTCCTGTAAAAGAATATGGAAGGCTAAGAAATAAAATGCCTGTTTATTTTTGAAAGGAAAACCCTCTCTCCACGTATTGTTTTTCACATGCACCTCACATTGTAACAGTGACATGTATATATTAAAGGTGGGGGTAGGTAAGTTTGAGAAACCGGCTCGAGATACACTTTTTGTTATATTCCCTGGATGCTCTTAACATCCCGATAGCAATGAATATCTTAAGTGCTTTGACAAAAAATCCATCAAAAAATGTCATCTATGGAAGCCGTAGTACTGTAAAAAGCAAGGACTAATCATTTTAGCCGGCCCGGCTAAAATAAACTGGATGGCCTACCTGCCTGTCAGCCTTCCATCTGTGCACAAACTTATCTCGTGCCCTCATTGGTCATGTGTTCGTGTGTGTTGGAGGAGGGGCTCTGTAAGGAAGTGGCAGATTTGTTCCGGCTGTGTATTTTCAAATTCTAGCGCACTCGAGCTGGTTTCTCCAAAATTACCTACCCCACCTTCAACAAATGTTACACACTTGATTTTCTCCACCCGCTCTTCCTCACCATCACTTATTTTCCTATAATCCTGTGTAAAATGCAGTGACTTAGTGAAGTGGTGTCTGCCCCATTTATCATCTCTCCCAACTACCCACAGGTGATGGGCCCCTGTTTGTTTGAACACATGGGGAACAGATTTTTCACAGCAGTCATATTGACTTGTCATTGTGATAAAAATAAATGTGTTAGTGATCTTAATCATTTCATTCATCAATAATTATAGTATGTATTCATGTGTATTTCCTTCAGTGAAATGTCAGAGTGTTGTGTGGAAAAGGCCTGTAAGATGTGGGCTATACAGGAAAGATGGAAAATATTATAAGAGCATCAAATTCAGTGCCTTATTTTTTTCTTTTCTTTTTGTATGGGTAGCCCATGCTCTGTGAACTGCTGAAGCACAATAAGTATATTTCAGGTGAATGGAAACCTTTTGTCTTATGCCACCTAGTGGATGCCTTCCAGATGACCTATTTTGCGCTAACAAATGTGCAGGCCACATTGCATTTCCTGTGACTTCTTCACAACAAAAACCACCCTTGTGTTTTCTCAGTTGCACACTTAAAAATCAAAATAAAGTTTATTTTCATGTTGGATTTCACTTAAAAGGGAGTTGCCTTGGTGTTTCATGCATACAATAAACATGTTATGGGTCATGTTACAATACAGTTACGAAATATAAAGTGTCGGCCTACTATTTCTGCATTCCTACCTGTTGATCATCTCACAGTGCTTTTGATATTTTCTTGTGACACCCAACTGTATAAGTTGTAAAATTAGCTCCACCATGACAACATTTAAGTTTACATGCACAAGATGAATCAGTTATACTATTCCAATAATATATGCGACTCATTAGTTGAGACGTGTTGTGTACTTTGATATTTGACATGTGTAAAATGTTTCTGATCATTTCTGAAAGCTATATAATTAAGATTTTAAATAAATGTTTGAATGGAAGACTTGCAGAGGAGTATTGTCTCATCTTGGTATTGCTACTTTTATTTAAGTAAATAATATTGCATCTGCATAGAACTGCACAAATGCAACAGTTTCACATCAATCAATCAATCAATCAATGTTTATTTATATAGCCCAATATCACAAATGTTACATTTGTCTCAGTGGACTTCACAGTTTGTACAGAATATCAGACCTAAGCCAGAGACTGGACCAGTTTTCCAGCCAGGAGGAACATTGAATCATTGTGTGTTATCTTTTCCTGTTGACCCCCTGTCAACATTTGTGAATACGTCTATTAATATCATTTTCGCTGGTTATTATTACTAAAACTGCTACTGTAAACTTTTACATGTTTATGAAATGATTGCTGGTTTCCCTTCGCGTTTCCAAGCCGCAACAGTGATTCATGCCTCTGTCAATGCTGAAGAAGCGAAACTAACAAAAGATAGTTTTGTGAGTTGACGTCTATATTATTCTCCTATGGAAAAGGTCAATATCACGAAAGCTAAACATCTCATTATTAATCCATAGGCTAAAATTAGGACATTTATCATTAGTCTTAAACAATAGGCTACTTTCATGATGGGGGTTTCAGTGGAAGTTTGTATGCGGTGGCGATGTGACGCTCTTCCTTCAGATTGGTTTCACATGATTAGGAAACATGTTCAACTCAGCAGAACCGCGGGTGGGTACAGTTTGTCCAGAGCAGGGTTCATTGCGAGACTACTGAGTGTTTGCTGTGCAGCGCTGCAGGGGATCACGATGGAGAAAGTGCTTGTGCTCCCACTGTTTCTCATCCTTTCCGCATTAACAGGTGAGGACGTGCTCTCAGAGGGTTTGGTTGGATGGCTGCAGAGGTGGGAAGTACGTTTACTCAAGTACTGTACTTAAGTACAATTTTGAGGTACTTGTACTTTACTTGAGCATGTCCATGTTATGCTACTTTGTACTTCTACTACAAATCAGAGGTAAATGGTGTACTTTTACTCCACAACATTTAATTAATACCTTTAGTTATTTTACAGATTTGGATTAATGATGTGAAATATAATCAACACTTAAATCAGAATTTAGTTTTCCCAAATTTCCCAGAATTCCCAAGCTACCCTGCAGTATACAGAGTCATTGAAACTAGCTGCACCTTTACCAGCTTTGATAACATTTTAATGCATCAATTGTTATAATCAGAACATATAATATTATTCTGAAATGGACCAATCTGCACAATGAGTCCTTTAACTTTTATGTACTTTAAGTATATTTTGATGCTAATACTTTTGTACTTTTACTTGATTAACACTTTGAAAGCAGAACTTTTACTTGTAACAGAGTATTCCTACACTCTGGTACTTCTACTTTTACTCAAGTACAAGATCTGAGTACTTCTCCCACCTCTGGATGGCTTGATAGATGGATAGACAGGCTTGGGGAGTAATGGATTACATATAATGGGATTACGTAATCAGGATACAAAAAAAGGTAACTGTGTTCCCTTACAGGTTGTATTTTTTCTTTGTAAGCTATACTGTTATGTAGGCTTATACTGTTAGGTTGAATCTATATACCTACCGTCTGAATTTGCTTTTATGTTTTTCACTTTCTTTGTTACATTTTTTGGGTTATTGTTATGTATTAATCCAAAATGGAGCATTTCTGTTATCTCATATTCTTTGCTTTTTTTAAAACTATAGTTTGGGTCCATGCCTCTGAAATGTAGTGTAAAATGATAGCATCAGAACATGTAAATGCTTAAATAAAGTATGCTAAAAATAGACTCAAAATACTGGAAGAGTACTGGAAT